TTCTTATAATAAACACATGCAGTGTTTTGAAATCCCGATCAGTCTTTCCTCTGTCGTTCTATAACAACAAAGATGTAAAAGTTCAACACTACGCCGCACACTTTGAAACATAATTTTGTTTGTATCGAAAGTTTGTATTCTACAGTGCTGCTAGAATCATGTGATTTACATGAATTGATGACAATTCCTTGATCGTATATACAAAATGTGTAAATTTTGGTTAGATTTCCTGCGAAACTTTAGAATAATTTTTTTCTGTTTCGGGAGAGTAGGATAGGAATCTAGCAGTACTTTCCATGGCTCAGTGATGTTTTTACATAATTTTTTTCACAAAAAGAAATAAATCATCCCCGGGGTAGTGTTGAACTTTTCACTTTTATCGTTAAGGCAATTTATTTATCTGATGATGTCGTAGAGGAGTGCTTCTTTTAGCCTTAGACTCAATGAGGTCTATACAATGGATAATAATAGTAAATTTTTATCCATGGCTTTTCCGATTTATCATTGTTACATTTTATGAACAAGAGGCCCGAGGGCCTTAACGGTCACCTGAGTATAATATAACAATTTAGAGGATCCATAGAGTATAAATGAACTGAAAGGTGAAGTTTTGTTGCCAACAGCAAGAAAAATAGGGTGATCAAGATCAACAAAAAAAATTAGTCTAGTGTTCATTAACAGATCATAAATTAGGTTCTAATCTGTTCCCCATTTATCACTATCACCATACAGTATATTAACAATCCATCAGTGCTTCTGTACTATTTTAATTCCTTGTTGAAATCTCTTACATTGGACTCTCTTGGTCTTTGATGAACATTGAATAAGACAAGTTGCTTTTGTCTCATTTTTATTTATCTATTACTTACAAGTCTACCTGATCATTAAAACTATGAAAATACTTTTTGTATTATACAATAAAAATTCTTGCATAATTCTCTTATTCTATTTACCTTTCAAGTACATTATTTACAGTGATTAATTATCAAAAGTAAATGGCAAAGGGGAATAACTCCTTTCAGAAGAATACAAATTAATAGAGCCCTGGCCAGGACCAGAACACTTGACCAAATGGTCCAGATTTTCAAAAATCTTTATCATAACTTTTACTCCTTTTAGCCTCCGATATGCAGAAAAGATTTTTAAAGAAATAATGCATTTTTACTACAGATTCACGATATTATCAATAGAGCCCACCCAACCCCCCCAACCGAGAAATACCAGAGCCTCTCACCCTGGGACCAGAAGTTTGCTCATCATAAGATATGACTTTGTTTATCTTCTTAACACTAAGGAGCAGACAGGATTATTTAACAATATTAATGCATTTTCACTATATTATCAAGAGCCCCACCCTTTCACCAGCACATCTGACCCATGGGTCATGCAATTCACTACTCTAGAAGAAGCACTCTTCCTCATCATAACTATTCACTTAGCTTTATGCTTTTTAACCAGAAGCAGAAAAAACATTTTCAAAGAAATTTTGCTTTTTCAGTATGTAATCAATAGAGCCCCAACCCCCATTTTTCCATCAGAACCCTTGGCCCTGGGGCAATGAAATTCACAAGTTTGGAAGAGGCAATCTTGCGTATCATAACAATGTACTTAGTTTCTTTAAATAATACCCAGGGGAGAGAAGAAGATTTTCAAAGAAATAATTTACCTTCACTATAGGATCTATATAGCCCCACCCTAGGGCCATTAATTTCACAAGTTTGAAGGAGGCATCCTTGCTTATCATAACTATGTCTTCAGTTTGTTTAAATAAGACTCAGGAGCAGAGAAGAAGTTTTTAAAGCATTAATGCATTTTCACTATATGATCTACAATGTATATAGCCCCTCCCTAGCACCAGAACCCCTGACCCTGGGGCTATGAATTTCACAATTTTGGTAGAGTCACTCTTGCTTATCATATCTATGTATTTAATTTGTTTAAATAATACCCAGGAGTAGAGAAGAAGATTTTCAAAGAAATAATGCATTTTCACTATATGATCTATATAGCCCCGCCCTAGCACCAGAACCCCTGATCCAGGGCCATGAAATACTTAATTTTGGTAGAGTCAATCTTGCTTATCATATGTTTTTGGGCGTCTCCATATGAGTGAAAAACTCTCGAGAGGGACGTTAAACAACATACAAACAAACAAAATCTATGTATTTAATTTGTTTAAATAATACCCAGGAGTAGAGAAGAAGATTTTCAAAGAAATAATGCACTTTTACTATATGATCTATATAGCCTCACCCTAGCACCAGAACCCCTGACCCTGGGGCCATGAATTTCACAATTTTGGTAGAGTCACTCTTGCCTATCATAACTATGTATTTAATATGTTTAAATAATACCCAGGAGTAGAGAAGAAGATTTTCAAAGAAATAATGCACCTTTACTGTATGATCTATATAGCCCCGCCCTAGCACCAGAACCCCTGACCCTGGGGCCATGAATTTCACAATTTTGGTAGATACAATCATTTGGTCAATACAATCATACCAACAGTTTGACTGCTTGATGTTCAAGAGTAAAGAAGAAGATTTTTAAAGATTGCATTAATTTTGGTGGTTTTAGCCCCACCCCTATGGTCCCAGGGGGGGGGGGGGGGAGGGGGGGGGAACATGAAATTCACAAGGTTTGTTCCCCTTCACATATAGATGCCATATGCTAAATTGGCTGAAATTGATTCAGCGGTTTCAGAGAAGAATCTGAAAATGTTCAAATATTTTAAAACACACGACGGACGACGCACGATGACGGACGAAAACAGATAGCAATAGGTCACCTGAGTGACTCAGGTGACCTAAAAAAATCTAAATTGGCCGAAGAATGATCTAGGTACTGCCTCAATATACCTGCGTTGGTGTCACAGCAGTTTTCAGTAGCACGTCAGTGTTGGTTGCCACCTGTGTTGAAGAGGAAGCTGGAATGTCTGCCCTCGTTGACGTGATTGTTTCGCTTGTGTGCTCTCGAAATTTGTGACAGCCCTCTCTGAGGAACTTCGAGGGAATTGAGAATTTTTGCAGATACTTGTGTGATGAGATTTTTTACAATTCCTGCATTTGAAATGTGACTGACATTCATTTACTTTGTTTTCCAAAGCAATTTAAGCAGACTTTCTTCTGTTTGATGATCGATATTCTCTTATCATAATACTGGATCTTATGGCAAGTTATGGTGAATGATTTCCATTACAAAACAAGCATTGCTTCACAGAATTTTCCAGCATGCTAGTCTTTTTATGGCTTGACCCAGCAACAAAGTTAGCTGTTGGAATGAATTCCTAGGTTTCCTGTTTTGATTCCATTGCCTGTCCAGCATCTTGAACACATAGCTTCTTCTTAATGGCTCTCCTCACTGAATTCAATTCCCATTGATCATCTCCGTTGTCCCGGGGAATGTTCTTCCGAATGTCTGCTGGTGGTTTGTTGTATATCATTAGAGTTAAAATTGTTCCATACGTGGTTTCATCAGTTCCTAGAGATTTATAATCCTCTAATGCGGCACTCCATTTTGTCAAAGAAGTTTCTCAAACTACATGTATCAGGATTAGACTTGGGGTATGGTTAGTCAATTAAACTCTGGATATGGGTATTAATGATTTTGTGATTTTGTCCATGAAACATATGGAGATAACGAAAAGTATTCAAGCTCAAAAGTCCATTAAACAATACAAAATAGGAGCAGAGCAAACACGGACCTCCAAACATTAGAGGTGGGATCAGGTGCCATGGAGGAGTGAGCATCCCCTGCCGACCGGTTACACCCGCCGTCTGCTCCTTGTCATGATCGGGAAATAACGGAAAAATCCGTCGACAATTCAGCGAGTAAATAACGGCCTAACAATTAGTATAAAAAACGTCAGTCAGCATTTGACTCAATGATAAATTGTATTTGCTGACAAGGTCATTGTATCGACCATAGAACTTGCGATATGATTACTTTAAACGAGACAGCTGATATTCTTGTTTCATCAACTTGTTTGTCAATAATTTAACTCGTTTTAGAAATTTTACATACGTAGAGCATGCTCTTGCGTATCGAATCAACTGAGAGATGTATACCCCGTATGCAGGTGATGAAGGTATATTGCTGCACAAGTAAGATAAGTTTACGATTGAAAAGTTAAAGTCATCACGTTTATCATAAAGCTTGGTTGTTAGATTACCATTAACGTCTTTTTCAAGTAAAATATCCAAATATGAAACAGATGTGTCAGACTCTGTGGTATCTTTTTATCTGAAGCTCACCGGGATATATCGTATCGACATAAGAATGGAAATATCCATATCTCTTGAATAAAACATCTATTGCTTGTCTATAGTTGGTATCAGTCAAACTAAATCCTGATAAAATGTGAGGTGCATCCCCACATAACAGCGATCGAAGATAGCTAAATTTTTCTACATCAGATAAACTGTTGCTTCCATGGATACTTGTTTCAAAACAATCCCAAAATGTTTGCCATTTAAGTAGGTCTCCAGAAAAAATGGCAGGTTTAGTTTTGATTATTTATGACTAGGAGTCTTAGGGTTTCCTATGCTAAGTTCTAATGAGACATTGCTTGGAATGAACTGCGGTGCATTTACATTTAAATTCATGGCTGTAGATCGATGAAAATTCTCAGAAGCCTTGTTAGATGAAGCATTCTTTGTCAATTCTGCTAATTTTAGTCTAAAATCTAACATGTACTCATCTTAATCATCAATCTCCGTTTGAATCTCCTCTTCATTCATTATTTTTTGTAGAATCTCCCTGTTAATTTTCTCTAATATGTCCAACTTCTCCTCCAGTGCCTTGATCATTTCAGCTTTCCCATTTTCATCTCTATTCTCAGAAATTCTCCGCAAAAACCCTTGTAATTACTCTAATTACTCTTACTGAACGCATCGCCTTCAAATTAGATACATCCATTTTGCATATGAACTGTAATCCTAGTCACAGCACCAATATCGAGATTGTACAGTGGTTAGTTACTTCGAGTAAGATAAAATGAAAACACTTTGACTTGTTTATCTAGACTGCCTATTCAAACATAGCATGGCATTGTAAAGTTACCATAATGTCATACTTATGATGCCGTTATAATAGGAGTATAACTTAATGTCACATGCACTTTAACGTTACATATAGGAAGATTTTCATCAACAAATACTGTAAACCAACTATTATTCGCGACATCTATTATTCGCGACACTTCAGTTTGAAATCCATCCGCGACTACTAATTTTCGCGACTGTTTGAGGCATCATTGTACATACATTGGTGAATAATTGGTTCGCGACGAGAAATATTCGCGAATAATCGCGAAAATTTCTTGCTCGCAAATAAAAGTTGGTTCACATTAATGATAAAAAAGAATTAAAATAAGAAAATAACACTATAAAAGTATTTTTAAAAAGTATAAATTAAGTTAATGTAAAAGAAAATTGAGATTCTGCGGACTCTTTTTTAGTCTGAATTTTAATTTCGAAATGGATAAGCGTCAGTTCACAATCATATTACTGACACATCCTAAAGAGAATTAAAGCCAACACATGTGCAATCGTTATACATTGTAATTATGCATTAATTAGACCAAATGTCTGTATATTTTCGATTGAATTGAAAATAACTTGCCTTTAAACATTAAAAAATACATTTGAAAATTAAATAAAATAAAACAATTTGAATTTTAATACGTGAAAATATCTTAATTCACCATAAAAAATCTAAAATAGATACTAAACTTTTCTCTGAATACCTTGATTTATACAACAAAAACTTTGATATTGATTAATTACAAATGGTAAATTACAGTTAACTGTGCTAAACTAAATGCAGTCTAATTTTATAGAAGGAAAACAATCGTTCGCATTATTTATTGATTTGGATTAATTACAGTACATTAGCTTCAGAAGAGCACTTTGTATTGGAAACAAATTCTTATAAAGTAGTTCCTTTATAATCCTACAAGGATAGGGAACTGAACCTTATGCATGATAAAAAGGTATTCAGATAGAATGTACCCATCACAGGTAAAGTTTTAGCGTACACATGTATGGGGGGGGGGGGGGGGGGGAGAGAGAGAGAGTGTGTATCTGTTTTACTTATCAATGTTATTATTCCACATGAGCCATTTTACACCAAAAACTTCTATTCAAAAGGAATTCCGAGTATAATATATTATCTTTTGGCTCTATATTCTTCCTTTTAACAATTTTATCGTCAGATATTAATGATTTTAATTTACTGTTCTGGAATATAATGATACATTCAGGAAAGTCTAGGAATTAAAGTTTTATAATCCTTAAAACCTGTTAATTAAACCTACATTCTAAAAAAACTAAATGCGTCTTGAACCATTACTTTTGAAACAGATTGGAATACACGTTTAATGTTCTTGTATCCGACACTAGGGCACTCAATAACTTTTTTTTTTATCAAACTGCAAAATAATTGCTTTAAGGGCACAAGTTAGAAAACAAAAATTGGAAACATGGATAAGTGTATCTTTTTGGACTTATTTCATTACAAAGATATCACAATTTACAAAAATATATGTGATTAAATCATTTAAACCAAATAAGCTTATCGTATTTCCCCGTTGAAATGCTAGCAGTCATATGACAAAATCGGTGTTTCGTTTTTTCCAGTCGATATTTAATTTTTCTATAATATCTCTCCTTCCTATGTAATTTAAAGCAGCGCAAAGATTTTGTCTATTTAAAACGTTTTCTTCAGAAAGACACTTCAGTGACTGGAGCATTACTTTCTGTGGATTCCTTACTTCTTCTTCTATTCTTTCTCTTTCATACTCCTTCAAACCTAAAAAACGCAAGAGTCTTTTCCGTTGTTTTGTTACAGTTTTGGCTACTTGCTCACACTCTGCTGACTTAATTAGTTCCCGTGGTCTGACAATTGAGGGGAATGAATATTTCTCCTTAGTGAAACATTCAATATCATCTACAAGCTGTTTATTTTCGAAGGTATCAAAAATAAGGTTTTTTAATTCTCCTATGTGGTTGATATGAGGTTTCATCTCCTTCCACGTCTTCAAAATTTGGAAAACCTGCTCCTCTGGAGAAAGCGTCATTTGCGTCATCAGGGCGTCAGCAATGTGACTATCTCCAATCAAACAAGTACATAAAACAAATTTTTCCTTGCACAGCTTTCCGGAAACAAAGTCGAATAATAACATCGTGTCTGAAAATTAGAGATTGGTAATTAATGATTTAACCATCATAAAAATAACGAATTTTCGCAGGTGTATTAAGGGAACATACAGATATTCTAACTTGACTAAATCAGTGATACATTATGACCTCATAGTAGGCGAGATGTCGTCAATTTATTTTTAAAACACAAGTTTTCATAATATTGGTATTTAGAGATGTATTAAACTCCAGAAAATGAATAGAAATATTGAAATATTAACAAAAATAAAATGCTTTTTTTATGCTGTATCTGTCACTTTGATTAAAATATTCGACCGATGACGTCATAAGTGTTCATCAAGTAACTTGGGAATTGATTGATTGATTGATTGATTGATTGTATATTGTTTTACGTCCCATTCGAGAATTTTTCACTCATATAGAGACGTCACCATATACCGGTGAAGGGCTTCAAATTTTGACCTTTACTCGGCACTCAGGGCCATTGAGCAGTGAGGGATCTTTATCGTGCCAACGCCTGCCGTGACACGGGGCCTCGGTTTTTAAGGTCTCATCCGAAGGACCCGCAACTTTCACTTCAAAGTGCCGAGCGCATGGCGAAGGAACAGTTGCTACCTATTTTTTATCGACTTAGGTCTGTCGCGGCCGAGATTCGAACTCACGACCTCCCGATCACGGAGCGAGCGCTCTACCGACTGAGCTACCGTGAACGGTACAACTTGGGAATTGATCTTGTTGTGTAAAGAGAATTTGGCTAAGACGGCATGTATAAAGATACATTAAAGGGCGTTTAGAAGCAAATACCGTGAATATTATTTGCGATTCATATGGAGTTAAAGTTTATTAAACAGGTATGCTAATTCATTTTCATCGATTATATTTTCGTTTGAAGACAGTCAGATATTTACGTATCCCGGTCGGCCTTTCTCTGTCATTCGAGTCAACAATAACGCAAAAGAACAACACTAAGCTGCGTCAAAACATAAGATTTATACAGATCGAAAGCTTGCCTTCCATTATATTTGGAAAGTGATGCTACAAATCGCGAGGTGAGCATGGTTTGAAGAAAAATCTCGGGTTATATGTATAAAATTCAAAACATCGGGTAAGGTTTCGTGCGAATGTGTGGAATAATTAATTTTACCGACTGGACAGTGGAGTCCTAGCAGCACTTTTTAGGCATAATAGATTTTTTTCAACTATATTATTTACTCATAGAAGTTATTACACCCCGGGGTAGTGTTGTTCTGTTAGCTTTTTTATTAAGGGAGCCGACTGGGGTTTTATTGTGTGAAAACTACTATAGAGAAACTCATTAATTTTATACCTTATGTACCTTACATTGACTTCGGTATACATGCCAAGTTTAGTGAAAATCTACCGTCTGGTTATTTTTTAGGGACCATCTCAAAATACAGATACATTTACTATAGGATTATATAGGAAAATACCATTTTTTCGCACTTCGGAGCAAATTATACAAATGCTACTATAGACTTTTTGCTCAAATTATATTATTTGATGGGAAATACTATACTGTACATTTGTGCAAGAAACACAAAATTCTACCGTCTGGTTTCCAGAGGGGGCATCTAAAAATGTCAAAATTCATGATATTTTCCTGTTTTTATGGAGTACAACAAAACATGACAGATACCACAGATTTACATAAAAAAATACAAAAATTATTGTTAGATTCTCAATTTCCTGTGTTTAAAATTTCAAGAGCATGTATTTTATACTTTTTATTTTATGGCATAATTAATGACCCCGCTTAAAGAACTTCGGTTATTCATAACGCCAAAAACACACTATGACGACGTCTATCTGGCCATCATTTGAAAAATCGTTTAAAAAATCAGCTATTTTAAAACGTAATTAGATTTTTTAACCTGAGATTTCCTAAATTTGTTAATTTTTATAAATTATTTAAAAATAGTTGCTTTAAAAGAGTAAATACGCTTTATTTTAATATGCTGCGCAAAGTATTGCGCAATTAAAACCCCAGTCGGCCCCCTTAAGTAATATTTCGCTATTAATAGCAGTCACGTGATGACGTAGTGGTGGTGCACTTCTTTGCCTCAGACACTCTTTTGTCTTTATACAATAATTAATAATAGTTTACGATTTATCAGGGGCTTTGATAAATTATCAAACTTAATTTTCTTTAAAAAGTCTAAATTTCCCGAGAAGTGATTTGAATGCGTCCTTAACATATCCGCGTTATAAGGAACAATTCATTTCTATCAAAATTACCTTCTTTGTCAGTCATGCTAGAATCTTCATCTTTGATCTACCAAAAAAAAAAATGTCAATTATGATAATAATATAGTTACATAAATAATGCATAATCATGATGTATGTATTAATTGCCTTTCAGTATTCTTAATTTATATAGGACACATTATTATTACTAGCATTACTATTTACGAAGAAGCATTTTCCCTACATACCATTTTCCAGTCTGAAACCAATTCCTTGACATTTATCCTCCTTTTTTCTCCTACTGGACAACCTTCACAAGTAATGTACTCTTTCGTGTAATCGATATCATTTTCAGGTATAAAGCAATTGTTAGTCTTATCGCAAAAGGTTGTATTTTTGCACTTGTATCCACAAACAAATGAAAAACTGCAGTGGATTGTATTTGCTATATCATTTAGTTTGGATGTGATGGCATCCTTTACTTCAATATTTTCTGCAATAGATTTTCCCTCATCATAACTAAGCAATTGAATCTGTATGATATCGTGCATGCTTCCTACAGCAATCAGTCGATGATTATGATCAAATATAACCACATTCTGGTATAAGCAAAAATTTCCCTCTGCTTTTGAAATTGGCCATAGTTTATTGGCAAGCACAGTTGCGAGTCGCTGGAAGATCAGATTCGCAAGAGCAGGTAGCTGAATACAGAATATCGAGGTTTTCTGACAGTTTTTGAATATTTCAGGTGAAAACTGAACTGTATTCATGCATGGAACTATCAAGAGTGATGCGTCCTCTGAATTTCTTTTCGTTACTTCAGTAAGTAAAGAAAGTTCTTTCATGTACAGAAGCAGATCCTGCTTGTGTTCCATGAATGAAGGATTCCAAATTGCATCTAAAAGAGAATGAGGAAGTTCCCCTTTCTCTTGAAACGCTATCCACAGTTTGTGGAAACTCCTGGTAACTTTTGGTATAGCATTACTTTTCACTGTAATGATACATTTAAACGCATCTTTGAAAAAGTTTACATCAAGTACAAAGAATTTCTCTAGATCCTTAACGTCAAAATACAGAATAAATAAAACTTCATGAAAGAACTTCAACATGAACTTTAGATCCTCATTTTTTAATCTCATGTCCTCTGGAAAACTGACTTGTAGCTCCTGAAGGTCTTCAAACGTCATTAATTTTGTATTGTGGTTTGTCCTAATTTCTCTAAGTTTTTGTTGAAAGAGGGTCCATACATTAGGAACTCTTCGCTTCCAACACTCATTTTCTTTGGCAATTGTTTTAATACACTCTTTGATGTCATTGATAGTGCGGCTGGTTTCAAACGAGACTGCAAAATTTCTATCATACGATAGCATATCAAGGAGCTTTTTTGCTTTAACTCTGCTTCGAAGGTAGATGAAATATTCAGAAATCTCCTGGTAATAACATTATTGCAATTTTAATTATTATATAACACAAAATGTACAATGAGCATTCAGAGCCAATAATTAAAATTAAAGTTAATAAATTTACTCTTGATTTTCCCTACTTGGAATAAAAAAATTCGGTTCAATTTGAAGATTACATGTAATTACATAATATATGTCATGCAGAAACATTTCGTTATCCGTTGTCAGTACTAAATATAATTATTTTTTTTCAATAAGATCTTGTCAATAGCTCCAGCAAAAGTATATACAAAAACCTGTAAAATTACTCATATTACTAAACATCTGAATTTATCTAAATTATGATTTTAAATCATCGGGAAAAAAAAAGAAAAAATACTTACGTCCTCTGATTTGCCTTCTGCATGAGTGCACACCAAAATGACTGATGGTTTGCTACCTCCAGAGAAAGCCTGTATAGATTCTAGCCAGAAGTTTAAGTATTCTGTAACCATATATGTATTTGAATGTATTAAAAAAGTAAAATATATAAATAAGGACAAATTAAGCAAAAAAAAAAAAACAAAACAAAACAAGAAAAAAAAAACAAAAAACAAAAAACAAAACAAAAAAAAAAAAAAAAAAACAAAACAAAAAAAAAAAAAAAAAAAACAAGAGGCCCAATGGTCTTAACAGTCACCTGAATATAATACAACAATTTAGAGGATCCATAGAGTATAAAATGAACTGAAAGAGAAAGCTTTGTTGTCCAAAAAGCAAGAAAAATAGGGTGATCAGGATCAACAAAATAATTAGTTTGGTATTCATTAACAGTTCATAAATTAGGTTCTAATCTGTTCCCCATTTATCATTATCACCATACAGTATATTAACAAACTATCAGTTCATCTGTACTATTACAATTCCTTGTTGAAATCTCTTACATTGGCCTCTCTTGGTCTTTGATGAACATTTAATAAGACAAGTTATTTTTGTCTCATTTTTATTTATCTATTACTTACAAGTCTTCCTGATCATTAAAACTATGAAAATACTTATTGTATTATACAATAAAAATTCTTGCATAATTCTCTTATTCTATTAACTTTTCAAGTACACTATTTACAGTGATTAATTATCAAAAGTAAATGGCAAAGGGGAATAACTCCTCTCAGTAGAATACAAATACACAGCGCCCTGGCCAGAACCAGAACACCTGACCAAATGGTCCAGATGTTCTGGTAAAAATACCCTTCCTTATTAAAACTTTTACTCTTTTTGCCTCTGCCCAGGTGCAGAGAAGATTTTCAAAGAAATAATGCATTTTTACTACAGATTCACTATATTATCAATAGAGCCTCCCCCCCCCCCTCCCCACCGAAAAAAAAAACACCAGAGCCTCTGATCCTGGGGCCAGAAGTTTGCTCACCATAAGTAATCACTTTGTTTATCTGCTTAACACTAAGGAGAAGACAGGATTATTAAATAAAATGAATGCATTTTCATTATATTATCAAGAACCCCAACCTTACATCAGCACATCTGCCCCAGGGGTCATGCAATTCACTACTCTGGAAGAGGCACTCTTGGTCATCATAACTTTACACTTAGCTTCTTTGCTTTTTAACCAGAAGCAGAAAGGAATAGTTTCAAAGAAATTTTGCTTTTGCACTAAATAATCAATAGAGCCCCCCCCCCCTTTTCACCAGAACCCTTGACCCTGGGGCCATGAAATTCACAATTTTGGAAGAAGCATCCTATGTATTTAGTTTGTTTAAATAATACCCAGGGGCAGAGAAGAAGATTTTCAAAGAAATAATTCACCTTCACTTTAGGATCTATATATCCCCGCCCTAGCACTAGAACCCCTGTCCCTGGGGCCAGGAATTTCACAATTTTGGAAGAATCATCCTTGCTTATCATTACAATGTACTTAGTTTGTTTAAATAGTACCCAAGAGCAGAGAAGAATATTTTGAAAACGTTAATGCATTTTCACTATATAATAAATAGAGCCCCGCCCTAACACCAGAACCCCTGATCCAGGGGCCATGGAATTCACAATTTTGGAAGAGGCATCCTTGCTTATCACAAGTATGTATTTAGTTTGTTTAAATAATACCCAGGGGCAGAGAAGAAGATTTTCAAAGAAATAATTCACCTTCACTTTAGGATCTATATATCCCCGCCCTAGCACCAGAACCCCTGTCCCTGGGGCCAGGAATTTCACAATTTTGGAAGAATCATCCTTGCTTATCATTACAATGTACTTAGTTTGTTTAAATAGTACCCAAGAGCAGAGAGGATATTTTGAAAACGTTAATGCATTTTCACTATATAATAAATAGAGCCCCGCCCTAACACCAGAACCCCTGATCCAGGGGCCATGGAATTCACAATTTTGGAAGAGGCATCCTTGCTTATCATAACTATGTATTTAGTTTGTTTAAATAATACCCAGGAGTAGAGAAGAAGATTTTCAAAGAAATAATGCACTTTCACTTTATGATCTTATAGCCCCGCCCTAGCACCAGAACCCCTGACTCTGGGGCTATGAATTTCACAATTTTGGTAGAGTCACTCTTGCTAATCATAACTATATATTTAATTTATTTAAATAGTACCAAGGAGTAGAGAAGAAGATTTTCAAAGAAATAATGCACTTTCTCTATATAATCTATGCAGCCCCGCCCTAGCACCAAAGCCCCTGACCCTGGGGTCATGAATTTTAAATTTTGGTAGAGGGTTCAATGCGTATTCAATCATGCCAACAATTTGACTGCTTGATGTCCAGGAGTAAAGAAAAAGATTTTTAAAGATTGCATTAATTTTGGTGGTTTTAGCCCAACCCCTCAGGTCCCAGGGGGACAGGGACCATGAAATTCAAAAATTTTGTTACCCTTCACACATAGATGCCATATGCTAAAATTGGCTGAAATTGGTTCAGCGGTTTCAGAGAAGAAGCTGAAAATGTTCAAATGTTAATACACGACGGACGACGCACGACGACGGACGAAAACAGATAGCAATAGGTCAACTGAGTGACTCAGGTGACCTAAAAAGAAAGAAAGAAAGAAAGATGTCCATGGAATACGAATGCCTCGGTCAATGGTGAGCTTACAAGCAAAACGAATATAAAATGAAGTTCAATGTCATGAAAAAATCAGATAATAAAATCTCGTTAAAGTTGAACTGGTCTCACCAATTTGGATCAGTGCCTGTAGTTTGATAAAATATCTTGAATACATGCAGTGTGGTTCAGGGTCATATATAAAATTTCATCATATCATATATTTGCATTTTTCTTTTAAAAATCTACTTTTGTAAGAAGTTTGATAAAAATGTGATTAAAAGTCCAAGGTTGAAAGAAATGTCAAGTTCAAAAAATTATATTATGGGCGATTTTTTCCATTATGTACATGTATGTATCTTTGTACAAAGTTAAAAAAAAACAATACTGTGAAAAGTGTAGATCAAGGCAATACGAAAGCACATCAAAAGTTACCAAACAGCTTACCCTGAACTACTCTTATAAATATGTACCTTTGTTTAAAGTTTGATATAGTCCTGATAAGTTAATATCAAGGTTTTCCGAAAAGTTAAGGTCAGGAAATAAATCCCAAATGACTTCTCACCAATTTGTATCAATGTATGAAGTTTAACTGTTTCATCAAAATATCTAGAACAGTTTCTTTGAAACTAAAGTGAAGACGGTATGATGAAAACTTGGGTCATGGTTATAGACAGTAAAATATATATATGCTACTGATAAATTGCTCTCACAAGCAATTAGAATTAAATATCGCTTAATTTCGCGAGAAACGTCACTCGCGAAATAATATTACTCGCTTTTATTTTTATGGTGCTTAAATCCATGTAAACTCTCTTGATTAACCAACCACTCGCGAATTGTTGTTCTCGCGATTTGACGTAAAGCCATTTCGCGATGACAAGTACTCGCGAAAAAATAAGGAATCAACAGTTGCATCATGTTAAAAATTTCAATTTCTTCGAAACTGAGCTAAAACCAATCCAGTTGAGAGTGAAATCTATATAACCAAAATAATATTGTTATTGTCATGGAATGATTTAAGTGGACTCAATGCAAACTGTTCACTTAGAAAATCTTACGTTCATTTGTCCAGCCTCTGAACATCATATCTCCCCGATGATCCTCCAGATCAGCTTTTTCTGTCCACCTTTTTCTCATGTCTGTTACCAGAATATAAAACGCACTACGGCGTAGATATATCTGATGTGTAGCATAGTACACATATTGTCCTGCGAAATCATAAAAGTCAATGGTTTGATTAACGTCGCCTTCTTTTCCTAATACTTCTGGCATAAGCTGAAGGAGAGCATTGGATTTCAATTCTTTATTTTCTTCTCCTGGCCTGTCTTTCCCGCTTTTTGTTCTACTTTCACTTGTGTTTCGCAAACATTCCATATTCTGTGTACCTTGTACGTTTTTGTTTTCTGTATCATCGTCATTTGTGACGATAGTATTTTCTAATTTCAGATCATGTCCGTAATTAAAATTTCTTAAGTTGTCCATTTTCTTCGCGATTTTGTCTTCTCGTTTTGATTTTCTGATTGAAATGTTCTCTTTCTTTGGTGATGTTCCAATCTCTTGATGTTTATCCGTATGTAAAATGGTAGAAATATCAATTTTCATTCGCTTGTGATCATCAGATTGCAAGGCTAAAAGACAAACATAATATATAAAACAAAATTCTAGTAGATAATATCAAATTCAATTTAGACCTGTCTACAAGAGCTAGGTTATTTACTGACAGTATTGAAAACAAACAAGTATTTGTTAACAGCATTTATGATCTACAGATATTTTCTTAGATGCAGTGATGGTGCCTCCTTCCAGATATATTAGATTTTATGAACTCTTCATTCCCATTTTAGAGAAGTCTTTATTATTGCTTTCCATATGAACCGACACTATTCCTGCTAGAGTCAGAATTAACATATTTTGGTTCAGATATATGTGAAATGACAATTACCAAGTAAAGAGCAAGCATTAGTTTGATGAATATCAACACTTTGTGTAGATTGCGTGGACGCTCTTATTTCGTCTATGCTCTCCTCTGTAGTCAATCTTTTAACCAACGTTGTTTTACCGGCGCCCCCGCATCCAAGTATCATCACTGAAGCATGAGAAATTTCACTTTCTTCTTTTCTCAAAAGGTCAACAAACCTACTATAACCTTCTCTTCCCAAGGTGAGAATTTCTAATGGAATGCACACTAAAATTTGGTAGAGTAAAGAAACACATTAGCATACATGTACCATAATTAGATAAACGACCTTTCTGAATTTTCCTTTTAGCCATTATTCATAAATTAAAATTCATTTAAATGTACTAACATTTTTTAGATATCATTTGATGTATACTGGAATCTTCTATGGTAGGATGATCCAAAATTTCTAAACCAATGCGGTCAATCAGGTCTTCGTTAAACGTTGAGTCAATGCGTAAGATTACTTCTCCGGGTTTTTGTACATACTGTGACGTCCTGCAATACTCTATCACTGAATTTCTGTCCGCATGCATCAAAAATATTCTCCCATACTCTGGACAGTCTACAGACTCAATCACTAGATCCCGTTCACGTTTAGATAAGAAAGTGACGACTCCATCTGCACTGACTGTCAAGTATTCATTCAGAGGACGTACTCGTAAAGTATTCACAGAGTCTGGTAAGTGCAAGGCTTTCCTCAGTTCCTCGAGATTCGAAAGCCACTGTTCATCATTTTCCCTTCCTGTATAATTTGTCATCAGCAAAACGGAATAAAGAAGAAGTTTAGTATTTTCTTCCAGATTAAATGTTGCTGAAAAACAATAACAGTTTTAATCCCTTTTCTCTGACAGACTTTTAGATTATTTCTATCCAGTGCATTTTCTCAGCTTAGATTTGACACAATCTTCTAAAAAAAAAAAGGCATAACAAAATAGTATTGCAAATAATCGTTTCAATAAGAGAGTATACTGTTTACAAAAACAGAGAAAGGAAAAAAGCAAAAAAAAAAAAAAAACAAAAACAAAAACAAAAACAAAAAAAAACCCAAAACAACTACAAAAAAAAAAAAAAAAAACAATAACAAAATAACAAAAAACAAACAAACAAACTAAAAAAAAAATAATTGTGAAGAAATAAAAACTAAATGTTCAACAAACTGGAGTTTTCCTGGATTCCCAAAAATCATATAGTGATAATTGATTGCAGAGCTATGTATGGCAAGGGCCCTTATGGGGTCTTTGATTTCCTGTTTGAGGAACTCTGTCTGATAGCATTTCAAAAGTTTACTATAAGCTTGTATTATAGAACTGTTTTACAATAAAAATGACCATTTCATTGGTGATATAAACAAAGGTCTCAAGAACATCACTATCTTTTTAAATTTCAGTTTCTAAATTTTTATTTTTTTATATAAATCTTAAAGTACATTTTAATCCAATGTCATAGACCAAAAACATTTTTTCTTTAAAAAATTATATATTAATGCAATATTTGAAGACTCATTTTGTTTTGTTTTTAATCAAAGATAGACTCTATAAGCTTAAGATACCTATATTTCATCTATCTAAATATTACATACCCATTATTTAATCATGTTTATTTAAATAAGCTTTATTTATGCACTGATTTTATTTTTCTAATGAAATTGATTGATTTGAAAACGAGAAAAATTGTGCAAATGAAAAAAAAAATACAGATACCTTCTGAAGACAAATCATCACTGCTTGTGAAATTGTCCTACAACAACCAAATAAAATCATTCATTAAGAAGAATGTACATGTATGCAGAATACAAGTCCTAAGAGAATGAAAATAATGCACAATGTATATATATATCGAAGTTGCTAGAATGTATGAAACACAGTACTGATATTGAAACGAGTTTCTGGTTAAATTTGCAATGATTTACTGTGAAGTTATCTCCCCTATACATATACATGCCTTTTTAAAACATGTGTATCTTTAAAATTAATACCTGAAGCTGGTAAACTTCAATAGTTCCATCACTCCGACGTTTCCTTGAGAATTGTGTTTTTGCTCTAGGTGTGTCAGCTTCTATGAATCTGTTCTGTTCTAAACATTGTAGAATTGCTGGTTTGTATTCTTTTTTTCCATAAACATTAATTTTGATTTTGAGGCAAGACATAGGAATGGTCCTATATTGCGGGCGAGTGTATCTGTGTAATGATTAAGACAAAATGATATTCCAACTTTACTTGAACCATTTTTTTTTCTCCTACCAACTAAATTTAGAAATATAGACAACTGAAATGACATGTGATATACCGAACAGTACTCATTTTCACAAGTCTAACTTAAGCCATACATATTGAGAGCTGAGCCAACATAGACCTCTAAAAACATCAGAGTTAAGAATGGGTACCATGGAGAAGAAAATATTCTTTGTTGACCTGTCACCTTCCCCGTGAGCTCATTGTTTGATCGGGAAAACAAGCAGTCCATAGACAATTCAAAAGAAAATAATGGCTAACAATTTTATGAAATATATGAAATACATATCCACATTCCACCTACCGACAGGATGTCATTGCAACAAGGTCGTTGTATAGATTTTGTGAATTTAAAAGTTCAAAAAGATTGTAGATACCTTTGTAACATCAATTTATTTGTCATTAGCCTGTCAGGGTTTAGAAATTGTTCATAACACAGAACAGTTTTTTGTGTATCAAATCAACTGGGAGATATGAAAACCTTATATGCACGCTATAAATGTATAATGCTACATGTACATTGTACACAGATAGTCAATGAGGAACATTAACAAGAGAAAAATTAAACAGGTTGTACCAATCTTGTGCTCAATCTCAATCTAACCCTTAAGCCTTTGATGCTTTCTATGTTTAAGCTGTAAAATTCTTTGTTGAAAATATGTTTTATTTTTAAAGTAAAATATGTATATTCTGTCTTCTACAAATGCAAAAAATGTATTAAAAAAAAAAAAAAAAAAAAAAAAAAAAAAAAAAAAAAAAAAAAAAAAAAAACCTAGTAATTATAGAATTCAAAATTTTTATTTTTGGTGACCTACGTTATCTGTTTACCTTTAATACAGAACATTTAAGGAATTTAAATCATTCATTTAAAACTACTTAATTTAATTTATCAGAACGACTTCAGAATCCTGTAATTTTTTTAAGGGTCAAATAATCACCTGTTTTATGAATTACGTTACAGTGATTTACATTACATTTGATTCATGTAATATCATAATTATCCAGGGCCTACTTCTTCTGTTACAATTAGTATTTAATCTTAAGGTATACCTTTACTCAGAATAAAAAAAATTCCACTGATAGGAGGGACAAACCAACAAATGTACATTAAAGAACCCCAATAGTAGTGTCATTTTCCACTTTGGAATATCTAGGTCAATGACCTACTTTTTTTGCTATTGGCCTCCCAAGATTTCCCGGAAAATTCCTCCAAATTCTACACTATAGCCATTTTTTTCTTTTCAAGCAAAATATGAGTAGTATCATAAATCTTTTGGAATATAAAATGTATTTTATCATAGTAACTGGTGCAAAATACCAAATAATTTTCAGATTTGGGTCAACCAATTTAAAATTATTAAAGTCCGAATTTCCTCTATTATTTTCAAAATTCCACCAGTTTTTCATCAAGAATTTAAAAAAATCCCACTGATAGGAACAATAAATAAATCATACTTTTATAAGACTTAAATTCTCTTTATTTTATTGGTATAAAATGTATATGGGGTCAATGGTCAAATTTTTCAGAAATTTCCACTTGAAAATTTTTTAATCAGTTTTTTTTCACATTGCCAACCACTATATTTTTATTTAAAATAAAGTATGAAAAATATTGATAATTTTTTAACTAAATAAGATTTTCAAATGCATCACTGTATTAGAAATATACAGCTTTGTAAATATATAACAAAAAATCTTGGTTTTTCATTAAATTGAAAAGTTTTAATCAGAATTTCCTCTGTCATAGCTTGATTAATAAGTGCAATATTTTGTACAACAACATTTTGATATACATTTTTTGATGACTTTAAAATGTAAGAAAATGTAATAAAATATTTATACATGTATTTCAGAGATATAGTACTACACCTGTTGCAATGTTAGATTTCAAAAAAGTTATGCACATAAATATGAATTAAATTCAATATCTATATGTTTTCTTTTTGTGACTTTTTTTAATTACATAAGAAAATGCCAGGAATAAAAAAATTCAACATGTTAATTACCTAATCACATCTTACAAGATTGATATGGATTTAAAAAGTGTAAAATATCTTTAGAAACAGACTATAACTTATAAATTGGAGGCAAATTAACTTATATAATGGGCTTTGCACAATTATATTATCAGTCCATTACCTCTTTGGGAGGTTATATCATACTACATAAGACTACATTAGGCAAGTCTCAATCACTAATTACATGTAGGTATAAAATGTAATTGTGAGATGAATATTGGTAATCTATTATTTAACAGCACACATCAAAAACCTATACAGATCGATGATTTCAAAATGAAATCTTCATACATAATGGATTTGTCAAAAAAATTAAATTTATTTATAATTTCACTTAGATTGATTCTCTATTTCAGGAATTATCATGAACATTCTAGCTGTCAATTTCTTACATAAACTGGTAAATAATAAACTTGCTAAATTTGTTTTAAAAAAAACTGATGGAAATAAATTATTAATCAAATTGAATTGCTTTTCTTTAAATCAAGACATTGCACATTATAATATATTTAACTTTCATTTAACGACAGAAAAAAAGAGCTCACAGCCTCAATAATTTTGTTCGACTTTGTCACCCTCACAGAACTGTTGCTACACACTTCAGTAAACAATGCATGGATACCAATCTGATCTCTAGAGTAAGCTAGTTTCAAACTATCAAAATCTAATCCACTTCCAGCTATTCTTTTAGCCATACACACACTCAACACCTTTTTCTGAACAAGAATTTGTAAGGAAGGAAAATTTTTGTCAACTTCCTTTTGGTAAGATAGTACATTCATAGCATAATCAAATGAAAATGTTGCACACTTATGCTTATCATCTGATAAATTCACTAATTCTAGCAACTTTTGCAACACTAAAATATCTTCAAGGGCATTATGTGCTTCATATGAACATGCAAGAAGACTTTCTGCAAGATTTTGCTGGCTATAAGAGCTCAGGTTTGGATGGGATATTCGAAATAAAAGCTTTGTATCCATAAATCCCTTCACTTTTCTTGAAAATCTTGATAACATAGAACATGATTCAAGAGCTCTAAAAAGCACTGGACAATCAAACACTTTAATGTTGTGACCAACTAAAATGATATTGTTATACTTTTCGAGAAATTTCAAGAAAGAATCCAATGCAGCCATCAGAGAAATGCCAGTCACTTCTTCGTTGTTATGGTAGAGTTTTCCATTCCTAACAGAGAGTCCTGTTATCTCAGAAGCTGTTGGCGTTATGGACTTCTTAGGAATAATGTATGTAGAAAATCTATCCTCATTCTGTACAGCTGCCAACTGAACAATATGAGAAGTGCGAGCTAAAAGAAAAATATCACTATTTATGTCTAATGAACAAATAAAAAACATTCTCACAAGGCCAACTGACATTAATAATTGCTAGTGGAGTATATGGATTTATACAGAAATAAATTCCACCACATGGCATGCCTATAAACATTAAATAGAGACTTAAAAACATCATGAGTAGTTGCTGAGAAAACAGAGACAAAAATTTATTGAAAGGTGCACACACAGAAACTGACAGAAACTTTACAGGGGTAAAACTGTATACATCATTTTCTTCCGAGCAGGGATATAATTATGGTTCTTTTGAATAAACTGAATTTGAGAAAATATCTATATAAACTTCTTGCACAAAAAACATAGGTAATCAAAGATTACGAAGCTCACCTCGACGAATGTTATCTACATGTAAGGCAAATTTCACATCATATTTTTTTTCTAGTTAGGGTACATCCCAAGATCAATATCCATGCAAGTTTGATTTAATTATAGACCTGCTCAAAAAACTTTTGACCTGTTTAGTAATCAAGAAAATTTTGGTCAGTTCCAACATCCAAAGCAAGTCTGGAAGTTTTCATCCTTAGATGCACCATCTATGCAAGTCTAATCATAACCACATGATAACAGGCCATAATATTATATAGCTACTCCAAAAAAATTACCCTGGTCATTCATCTGGAAAATGTACGTCAGATTCAGAATCCAAGACAAGTCTGGAAGTGTCCATCCCTAGATACATCATCCATGCTAATTTGGTTAAAATATGGCTAAAATTCACTCATGTGGAAAATCTAGGTCAGATCCAGCATTCAAAGCAGGTTGGTTAGTGTACATCCCTAGATGCATCATCCATGAAAGTTTGGTCCAGGTAGGGCTTATAGTTACTTGGGAACGAGACTACTCCTAAATCTAAACCTGGTCACTCATCTGGAAAATCTAGGTCAGACCCAGCATCCGAAGCAAGTGTGGTAGTGTCCATCCCTAGATGCATCATCCATGCAAGTTTGGTCCAGGTAGGCTTATAGTTACTTGGGAATGGACCTGCTCCTAAAACTTTAACCTGGTCACTCATCCAGAAAATCTAGGTCAGATCCAGCATCCGAAGGAAGTGTGGCCATGTCCATCCCTAGATGCATCATCCATGCAAGTTTTGTCAAGGTAGGGCTTATAGTTACTTGGGAATGGACCTGCTCCTAAAAATTTAATCTGGTCACTCATCCAGAAAATCTAGGTCAGATCCAGCATCCGTAGCAAGTGTGGTAGTGTCCATCCCTAGATGCATCATCCATGCAAGTTTGGACAAGGTAGGGCTTATAGTTACTTGGGAATGGGACCTGCTCCTAAAACTTTAACCTGGTCACTCATCCAGAAAATCTAGGTCAGATCCAGCATCCGAAGCAAGTGTGGTAGTGTCCATCCCTAGATGCATCATCCATGCAAGTTTGGTCCAGGTAGGGCTTATAGTTACTTGGGAATGGGACCTGCTCCTAAAACTTTAACCTGGTCACTCATCTGGAAAATCTAGGTCAGATCCAGCATCCGAAGCAAGTGTGGTAGTGTCCATCCCTAGATGCATCATCCATGCAAGTTTGGACAAGGTAGGGCTTATAGTTACTTGGGAATGGGACCTGCT